TGTTAATTCCCTACCACTTTGTTTGTAACTCCGTATTGTCTGTACTGTTCTTTTGCTATTTTGTAAAATGTTGTCTGTCTGTTAATGTTTTCCTTCTTTTATTTTTAAAATAAAATAAATTTTAAAATGACGAGTTGTAGAACCAAGTATAGTGGCACACACCTGTAATCCCAGCACTCAGTAGACTGAGGCAGGAGGATTGCCATGAGTTTGAGGCCAGCCTGGGCTACATAGTTCAAGGACAGTCTAAACTACATAGCAAGACCCTATCTAAAAAAATAAATAAATAAAAAGCAGGAGCTGTAGATAGTATTACGTTACAGTACAGAATTAGAAGAAGCCGCCATAATCCAGCACTGCCAACAATGTTTCTGTGGCAAGTTGGAGCAGTGGGTCAAAAGTCCGAACAGCCCCCATCAGTCATAAATCTGAACAGTCATTAAATGGCAGGACGTTAAGTGAGGGATATCTCTGTTAGGTGTACAGTGTCTGCCTTGACTTTGATAGAAAATTAACAGATGAATGACTGAATCAGTGCATGTTTTGTTCCTTCTTTTGAAAGGCTCTAAGGCTCCAGGTTGCAGTCTGCAGCATGCAAAAAACCACAGACCTGCTGGGCTTGCAGCTGTAACCAAGGAGATGTGTGTGGAGTATGAGAGAGAAGAGGTGGTGGTGAGCCCTTGGGCCTTACCTGAGGAAATCCACAAGATTCTCTATGAGAGTCACAGCTCTCTTCTACAGGTAAAAGTTGTTCCAGACCTCCGCTGATTGCTCTGTGCTCTTCAGTGCTTGTTCTGGGTATTTGATTTTTGTAACACCTGGAAATACTGAATAATTGTTAGGTGAGTTCAAGATAGTGATTCAAAGCATCCATCCTTTTGGCGTAGTATTCTAGCATTTATTTTTCATAATTCGCCGTGGATTTGTATCTTTTTAAATTAAAAACCACAGAATAAAAGAACAGATCATTGTAGCACAACTGTCAAGTCCACCCTGCCCCTACTGCAGTTGCACTACCAGCATCTGTGTCAAGCGCTGCTCAGCTCACTCTCAACCAGGATGTGGTGGGGACCATAGCCCCGGGTCCCTTCGTATTTCCTTCAGCCCTTGGTGGCTGAGCGACCCCAGGAGCACAGCTGATTATCTTCTCACCTCCACAGGGTGTGTCCCCAACTGAAGACGAGCTTGCGCCCCCTCCTGGGGTGGGCAGCGCGGACAGCATGTCTGCGAGCACTGGCAGCATCCTCAGCAAGCTTGACTGGAATGCCGTGGAAGACATGGTGGCTGGCGTGGAGGACGGGGACCTGTCTGTCCCGTGGGCCCTCGACCTGTAAGACCTCCATATCACCCTGTTTCCAGAACCTCATGAGTGTGGTTCTGAAAGACTTGAAGGGCACAGTGTGAATTTACCACCTGACGTCATATTACTACCTAGATCAGCCATTTGAAAAGGGAAAATAAACATTTCTCAATAATTTTGTCTCCATGGGGAAAGGCTTATTTAACTACAGATGTATTACATTTTTGCTTTTGACTTGTTTTGGGGATAACTTTTGTTTTCTTTTGTTTTGTTTCTTGAGATAGGGCCTCACTGTGTAGTTCAGGCTGGCCTTGAACTCATAGTCATCCTCTTGCTTCAACCACTTGAGTGCTGGGATTACAGCTGTGGATTACAGGCAGGCACCACACTCAGCTCTATCTTTGGCATAATTTTTTAAATAATGAATACCTTTCAAGTCAAATTTGTATAATATTTAAGCTACTTTTAATAAAAAAAAAACATATCTTGCCTCCTCCTTTACTATCCTCTGTATTTTGAGAAACACACTTACATGATGAACCTGATAGGACAAAAATTCTTTATTTTTAATGGGGAACATCAATAGCTCCTGAGACACATGAGGGGTCCCAAATGAGTTGCCAAGGAGCGCGCCCTCAAAAGAAGTTTTCTAGAGCACAATCATGAGGCAGGTACAATGTGGGTCAAAACTGTAATCAACTAATAAAATTTAAGCACAGTCACTTGAGTAATATTGATCTAATGGTAGCAAGGGTACATGGGTGACATCATTAACCTTGGTCAATAATCTGTAGTCTTATCTTTAGTCTTAGTAGTCTTGATTTTAGTCTTAGTAAGTGGGAGAGGATGGCCCACCATTAATGAGATAATGGGAAATCTCAAAAGAGTGATAGTAACAATCCTAAGCCTCCATTCACTGATCAGTGCAGGGTCTCATTTTTTAGTTCAGGTTGGCCTTGAGTTCATTATATAGTCCAGGCTGGCCTTGAAGTTGAAGTGATCTTCTTGCCTCAGCCTTCTGCATGCTACGGTTACAGTGCTCCACCATCCCTGACTGGGGCCCCTTTTTATGTCTAGCTCTTATTACTATGGTATTCCTTTTGTACATCTTTTGTTTATACTTTTCTGCTGGACGTTTAAGACTAAGTTAAAGTGAGACTGATATTAATCAAGATTAACCGCTGGCTGTCTCTCAAGGGCAATTTAAGTCTCCTTGGGCATAACTTTTGAAACTGTGTACAGTTTATTTGTCAGTGTCAGCCATTAGGATGAGTCACAGCCTTGCTAGACAATGTTACTTTCTGTGGAAGAATAGGAGATTTTTTCCTCTTCATGGTCCACCTTTGGCACACTGTACCCTTTTTGATTCTTGTCCTATGGGGTCCAGCAGTCTCCTTGCTCAGGAGGTTGGGTGACTCACCAAAGTTGTATTTTGGGGAAAGGTTCTCTCATGTCCTGGGTCCTGGTTGACCTTAAGGACTAGGGCCAAATGTTGGTTGTCCTCTTAGTCCAGTTACCTTTCTAGTTCTGGTCTCTAAACTTTAGTTGTTGAACACCCAGAAGAGAAGATCACTGACATTACTATTGGAGATGGAGCAGTGAGCATAACTATTACAATCTCACCTGAATAGCAAGCACTTTGAAATATAAAGTATAGCCAGAGAACTGTTACTTCTTATCAACCATGGTTGTTTTAGTAGTTGAATCCCTGCAGAATGTTAACAAATAACAGTTATATAGTTTTACAGAGAAAACTCGAGATCAAAAGCCACACATCGTATTTTAGCTGGAAAATCATATTATCTTTGAAACACATTTAAATGTCCATCTTAGGATAAAATAACTTTTTTAGTCAAACATCTCCATCTGATCACAAGCATTAAATGACAGAAAGAAACTCTGACCTAGTTTATTACCCTTCAGTAGGATGCCATTCAGGGAAAATGTACCGGTCTATAAATGTACCTTAGAAATTTAGATTGTCTTGCTGCTAATTTTAGTGTGTGATGTTGTTTGGACTGTTTGCTGCCTGAGTATTCCTAAGTGTAGTAACACATGTGCCATACACATCACGTAAGTTTTTTGTTTTTTTGTGGATTTGTTAGTCTTTTTGAGACAGGATTTCACTGTGCAGTTCAGGCTGGCCTTGAACTCACCTTGTAGCCCCGGCTGGCCTCAAACTTGCAGTGATCTTCCTCTCACCTCCCAAGTGCTGAGATTATGTGCATGCACCACCGTACTAAGCAAGATCACATAAGTTTTTTAAAAGAGTGTCCTCTGATGATCTCTTTTTTTTTTTTTTTTGGTTTTTCTCTGGTACCGGGAACCGAACTCACGACCTTGTGCTTGCCAGGCAGGTGCTTTGCCACTGAGCTAAATCCCCAGCCCCCCTCTGATGATCTCATGCTGGTTTGACATGTACCTCTTAAGTAGCTGGAGCACAAGAGAAAGTTTGAGTCCAAAAGTAAAGATTATCACTGTAAAAAAAAAAATCTTGTTTTTATATCTTACAAGACCTGTACACCAGGAAGGCATGAATACATTTAGTACACCATGAGATTCGCAGTAATGAATGTCATACCTGTATGAAAACTTTTGTCTCTTACTTTTATAGCAAGAGCATCTTTTAATAAAACTTTATTGTTTTACCCACAGAAAACAGTCTTTTGATGATGACCAATATAAACATATCACAATCATGTTTAGCAATATTTATTAAGGTGTTTCTCATATAAGGCTCTGGTATTTATTGGGGGCCCATTAGTGAAAAAAGACTGGAAGAAAACCTTTTCAGGCAGCTGCTTCTTTCTTCACCAAGGGGAGTCCTGTCTACTTTCCCAAAGCCTAAGGAGTCCCCATTATATTAACAAATTTTTGATGACCTGTAAGAACCAATCATAACAACATTATTTTTTACCAATGAAAGATTTTCAAGTTATTGTACACAAACAATATGTAATGCATTTGTAAAACCAGTCTTGATACCATTTTATCAGCTGGAAGCCTGAGTGGAAGCATGTCTTTAATGATAGTGACATCTCTCAGCCACTTTAAATTATAGACAAATATTTGAAAAATCTAAAAAGGCAAAAAGAAAAAATATTTGAGCTCAAAAACAACTGTAAGCATTGTAACCAATCACAAATTGGACAGACAAGCACACGTAAGACAACTGTTAATAGGCTAGAGTGCACTCATGTATTTTTGCCAAATATAATTATACTCTTTTATAATTTTTAAGTTTGTAGCTATGCACTAGTCAGAACTCTTTGTAGGTCATTTAGCAGAGATCTCTTGTAATAATAATCAGAAGGAGTATAAACCTACACCAGTGAAAGCAAAGATAGTTTTTAAGACAGGTCCTAGGCTGATGGTTCATCTGATTGGAATACCCAGCTGTACAAGCCCCTTGTTGCCTTGATAGCCATAGTTATTAGTCATAGCTGATGGCCAAAACTGCTGTTTTTATTTCCACATGTAATTCTTACCCCCATGGAACAGGCTGTTAAAGGTAATTTTAACTATTTCCAAGGTGGTGAGCAGGCCAGGTTTGAGTGTAGGACGAGATTATCCCTGAGAGTTGTGGCTGGCCTGCAAGATGTTCTAGAGGGAAATCACAATAAGAGAGGTAGTTCTGTGGGGACTGTGGCTGTGCCTACTCTTTAATACCTGTTTCTGTTTCAAACTTACTAAACTCATAAAGTTCCCTAGGAATCTTGTTCAGTGAACTTATCTGTGCTATAAAAATCAGTAAAAAAAATCAGTCTTCACTGTGCTATAAAAACCAGCCAGTATCATACTTGAGGGGGAAAGAAGTTAATCTCTGCAGTTCTGCCTAACAACTGAAAGGCAGGTAAACTTAAAGAGTTTATATTTATTCTTCAGGAATTTTAGGATTAAATCAATCAAAGACCAGCTTTTTAGAATATGACCCAGAGATAAGTGAAGGTCAGCTTCACTCTGGAAGGGTCCCAAGGAGGAAAGGAGTCTCAAGTTTCAGGAAACTTGGCCCTGAAATCCAGCAGCCATAGAAGACAAAACTGCGTTGGCCCAAACACTGTTGTAAACTGCCTTGTGCCTCTGGGGTGGGGCAATGGAGAAGAGAATGAAGAATGACTGTGGCAGAAGAACTAATGCTAACCATCTCAGGTGCAGAAAGACAAGACCAAGAGCTCTCCCAGTGTGGGTCTCTAATCCTTAGTAAAACATGCCTCTAGAGACAAAAGTTATGACTGACTCAAACTGAATTATGTGAATGGCTTTCTTAACTTTTTGAAAGGGAGGGAGACAGAAAATGAAAATGTTTCAATTACATTGCTTAGGTCTACTTTCTAATAAATTACTCTCAATCAAAGGTTTAAAATTCCAGCCTGTAAAAGAGATCTATTGCCTCCAGTGACAGAGGCAGATGATAACCCAGAAGAAATCTTGGCCCTAGGATAGAGATCTTCAAGACATTTTGGTTTCCTCTATCCAGTCATCTCTAAGTACTGGCTAGGCTATATTTAAGCCCACTCTGAAAATATGTATCCCCCAGGAATGTGGGATACACTTACAAAACTCACACATTAAAGGCTGCCCATTGTCTCTCATTAGAAGTCAACATTTAAGAGTAACATTACATCACTCTAATCTAGTTTATAGGCCTGAGTAAGTCTTCCAAAGACCTCAGTATACTCACCAAGATCATCTGAAAACTCTCCTAGATCTTGCTTGATGTTTCAGGTCACTGAGAGAAAAGGGGCAAATGAATACAGATGGTTCTAAATTCCCAGTGGATACAAGCTCATGGATGCTTTAATTATGCCTAGCCTAGAAGCTCCACCTGAAGGGCAAATAGGGGAGGCCTCAGACTCAGTAATAGTGGGCGAGGCTTTGATTAAGTTTGCCTTGGAAACCTCATCCTCAGGTTCCAAAGGTTGTGGAAGAGTAGCCTCAGGCTCAGTGATAGTGGACGCCTTAAGGGCCAGAGGTGTTTGGTTTTCCTGTGGCTCACATTTACATTTGAACACAGGATTATTTCTTTAGTGCAAAGAAAGTGAACATAAATGCAAAAAGAATCCGTCATCTCCTTTAATTTTTTATTTCTGTGCCTTCATGGTATCCCTTGGGGTTAACTCCACTCTAGGGCAGGTGGGTGCTGTGTGGAGAGAAACTAGAAGACAAAATTCAACC